GTTAACATTTGCTTACTAATTTAAAAGTTATAGCATGAAAACTATAACGAGCACAAAATGGTTACAAGGTTGGTCCTAGTGACCGAGCCCATGCTGAAAGAGTTAAATAAAGTCATTCAATCAAAAAATTCACTATTCTATTTCCTAAAGTCAAGTTTAACAATTTTGTACTAGATTATAATTAGGAGAAAGAAATCAAACCAAATAAGACAGGGAGGTAAATGTCTTTAGGTGAAGCAGAAAATTTATTCAACAATGAAAACTAACTCTTATTTAATTCCTCCATTCAAAACAAACAATAATAATTTCTTAACTTCAAAACATAAAAAAATGGAGTGAAGAATCTAGAAACTACTATAAAGTAGAGAGAACAAAGAGTCAGAAATCAATTCTTAATTCAAATCCAAAGAAAATGGAGGCATCATCTCCTCTTGTGAAGCAGCAGAATCATCTACAAAGACACCTACAGCTGAAAAAGGTGAATGAACAGCCTCTCCTTTAGATGATGTCTAAAAAATCTTCATCCTAGAAGAAAACAACCTCTATATGTAAGATCAAATAGAGAAGACTGACAAAAGATAAAAACCAACAGTACGATGAGATGGCACTCATGAAGAGCCCCAAGAATGACATTTAAAAGCTTATATCAGTGCCGATAGTTTCACAATCTGCACTACCATGGCATCTACAGCAAAAGTAAAGTCCAATGAAGACAATGTTCTACTGAGTAGGCAGGAGAAATGCAAAAGTAACAAAAACATCATAAAGGTACATGGACTACAAATTTATTTAAAAAATAAAGGTGATCAATAAAAGAAGAAAAAAATACATTTAACTCTAGCAGAAATCTTAATAAATAGTTCAATACAGGTTGATGTTTTCATTGATAAACAGATTAATTGTAAATTAAGAGAGTTTAAGAATGAGTGAAGTTATAAGAATTTTGAAACACTGATCCACAACTAAGTAATAATTCTTAAACAAGCTATCCAAGAGTGGTTTAATTCTAATATGCTTGAACTGACTTAATTTTCAAACCTAATCATCAAAAAACATTAACTATAGATGTACATCTATTACTAAGAAATAATACAAATTTGTCACAATATA